TTACATTACATAGACTGTACATACTGGAGGCTTTGACTTTGGAAATTTGGTAAATTTGATTTGACTCCTAATAAATAAATATATATATATATTATCCACACAGTTGCTATTATGATTTTAGGCTCATTAGGTAGTTTTAAAATAAATTTGCAGTTAAAATAAAAACTGCAAGCATGCAAAGTTCTTAATCTTGTCCACCATCTGAGGACTAATGCCAACCTGACCTGCAAAGGGGAAATAGCTGAAATTGCAAGGATGAAGACTAAAAACAGTGTATGTCCCTCACATCAGTGCACAGAATAACCACAGTATTGAGTGGAAATACTATAAGGCAAGCAAATGACATTGAAAATGGGCACAGCAGATGGATGGTCATTAATGAATATAAACTAAATTACATTGAGAATGAAAGGCTGATGTGATGGAGAAGCCAGGTACATCAATACAGTGACCGGTGATCTCACCTCTAAGGCAGGAAGGGTGTATGACTAAAGTTGTCGGTACAGGAACTGATAAAGGCCATTAGATCAGAAACCAAAGGAGCCATATAGTGAAAAGCCCTGAGGAAGCAAACTAGAGCCCAGAGACAAGAGACATGTGAAGAACTAATAGACTGGATCCAGCACAGTATGTATTAATAATAGACATGATAAAAACAAGGCCACTTACTACTACTTCAATGATTTCCTTTTACTTGTTTGATTTTTTTATTTTAAAGCCGAACTCCAGGATAAGCCAATATTATCTAAATATATGAGCCATTTGTGTTCTTGAATCTTGGTGTGCTTTGTGTAATTCTTCTAGATCTGGGCATTACTCTGGTGTAAAACATTGCCTATGTGTGGGAGCTTCCTGTAATACAGACCGGTCACTGCTGCTCTCTTCTTGTACAAGGTGAATGGTCTTATCTCCATTTCCTCCTATTGTTTTCTGCAGGCAGCCTGTAGTGGGTGCCTCCACAGCTCTGCTCTCTGCACACGCTATATACAGCATAGTGATGATATCACTGCTGCTTTTATAAACTTTACGAATGTATTTTGTGCACACAAAGTGGGTTCTCTGTGGGCACTGAGGAGTAAATTTAAACAAATGAAATTTGATGTGCCTGGAGTTCCGCTTTAAACATGATAATGTTTAAAGCTAATGGTAAAATATAAAATCTTTGTTTTTTGTCGGCTTCTGGCATTGTCTACCCTCAGATGCCATCTCATTTGACACTGATTTGATGGTGCTATTCAATAATGTTCTCATGATCTCATGACTCATGACTGGGGTAGATTTACTAAAAATGGTGCACTCAGAATTTGTTGCAGCTATGCATGGTAGCCAATCGGCTTCTAACTTCAGCTTGTTCACTTACACTTTGGCAATAAAACCTGGAAGCTGACTGGTTTCTTTGCAGAGCTGCATCAGATTCTGCACCATGCGGTTTTAGTAAACAACCCCAATGTGTTTATAAAGGGTTCTGTTGCCCAAGGTAACTTAAATGATCCTTACCCCTTGGAGAAAGACCCCTCTTCTTTAAATGTTACAATCAGTCTGCATATGTTATTAGATTAAGACAGTTTGAATTCCCTGCCTTAAGTTTTAATTAAGGTGCTCCTCAAACTTGTTTGATAAACAGGGCTGCTGACTTAATATTACCATTCACTGTATTTCCCCGGGTGCAGCCCTGCTCTCTACCTGCCTAGGCTTCCAACTAGCCCCCCTCCCCCTTCCCCCAATAGGTTGTTCAGCCCCCCAGTTGGGTCCTGGATTTATATTACTATACAATCTTGTGAACCAGGCTAGGATCTGGTTCTGTGAGAGTTACCTCTCCTACCACCTTTTCTGTTCTTTGCCTCTCTCCTTCACTACTGAACACTCAATTCTTCCCCCTCTGCCTCCACTGCACTCCACTCCACCTCACCTACCCCTTCCCCTCCGAAAACCAAACCCCAAATTTTCCACATCATTGTCTTGTCTACCGTAAAACCATCGCCACTTCCTCTGAAATTTCATTCATACAGTGTCAAGGGTCTCAACAATTTGTTTAAGAGTGCCAAAACCCTTTCCTCTATCCATAAGGTGAAAGTTAGGATAATCCTTTTTCAGGAAACCCACTTCTGTAATGATCACACCCCCACTGTCACAACCCTTACTACTCTAAATAGTTCCACAAGGCAAAAGGGGTCTCCATCGCTATACACACAAATGTACCTAATCATTTTAAACAACATAAAAAAACCCAGAAGGAAGATACATTTTTAATAATAATCTAATAATCATTACCAGGTCTGCACAGCCAGCCAATATTTACACATTCTTCAAGAATTCACCTAAAGCCCCATTCTCTTTAGTATTGATTTTGACATTGCCTTAGAACTCCATTTGAACACTACCTCAAATCGATCAAATATCTCTTTCAGCCAGTTAAACTCCTTTCAAAAACAGTTATTTAGGCTAGTGGATGTCTGGTGGATTCTTCATCCCCAGGATTAAAATTATACCTTCTATTCAGCCACTCACCAGTCATACAGTTGTACTGACTTATCACCAGCCACCACGCTCTGGGTTGGAACCCTACCACTCTCTCATTAGTGTGGTGTGACCACTCACCAATTATGTTCACTTTCGAAATACCATCTGCAACATGCTCAATGTGTTCAAGGCACCTTAACGATACTCTCTTAGAAGACCCTGATGTGCCACCAGACATAAAAACTACTATCGCCAATTTCTTAGTTGATCACATAAATTAAACTACTCTCCATTTCCAAGGGGAAGGATTAAAAACCGTAGTCAGAGGGACCCTCATACAACATGGGACCAACTCAAAAAAGAATGAACGACATTTCAAAACTACAGTTCATAGAGACCAAACACAAACAGTTCCAATCACCAGCCACCTTTGCGGAGAATTCTCAGAACAATCCCTCATGCCTCTTATCTGTCGACACCGAGAAGGATTTTGGTAGGGTTAACTGGCCTTTCTTTCCCCAAACATTCATCAAATGGGGCCTAAGCCTGCACAAAAATGTCTAGCCCTATAGCATTCCCTTCTAAATGTTATAACCATGGAACACCTAGACAATGCACTTTGATCCAACCCTTAAATCATTGGCGTAAAAAATGCTAAACCATCTACCCTATGATGGCTTGCATACCAACAGATTTTTTTATCTTCACTTCTAGGCAAACAGGACTTCACCTCCCCACCAACCCCATTTGAAAGCCCCCTTTTACAGGACTATCACCTAACTCAAAGCCTATCTTCAATATACTTGATTCTCCTCACTTCACCATTCATCCCTCCCTCACTATAATGAACAATGGACAGGAGAACTGGGAATCTCCCTTTGTTCAAGATTGGGAAAAAGCCTTTATCTTAACACACTGACTCTCCATAGCAAACAAAGCCCAAGAGGCCAACTTCAAAATCCTTACCCATAGGTACAGTTGCATTCCATACCATATATCCCTCAGTCTCAGAACTCAGGAGATGTCACAATCACCCAAGCACCAAGTTCCATATTTGCTTGTCCCCCTATTAAAAAATTCTGAGACACAGCGTTAATACTATATATTAAGACTACAGACACTACTGTCTCAAATCTCTGTCACATCGTCCTGCTTTCTATACTACCAGGATCTATCAAACACCAAGGGGATATCCTGTGACATTTCCTCATCGTGGCACATACTGTGATCCCATACCATTCGTGTTCTTCCCAACTCCCAACAATCACAGATGATTTTATCTCTCATATAGAACACTGCCCAGCACAAGAAAATAACGAAGCATCCTACATTCAGATCTGGGCTACATAGACTATCTTTGGACTTCACAGAAACTCTACAACCTACTATCATCCTAAATTCTCATCCTCCTGGTCTACACATAGCAATGGTGGAAGAGAATCCCCCCCCCCCCCCCACTCCCTCCCCTAATACCCCAAAACCCTCTCCCATCTCCGACAGACTCTTTCTCCACACCTAAACCCACCCAGTTCTCCCCTCCTCTGTTTATGTTTTCTTCTCTCTTCCCCCCACATCTTTGTCCTAATATGTATCCCATATACATATATATAAATATCTAAGCAATGCGGACACAAAGTCCTCCAATAGTAACAATCCAAAATTACATAACTGACCGATTCCATCCCCTAACCCACAAAACGAACCCAGATCTGCATCATCTTGCAACCGGGGAAATATAGTTAACAGTGTTTTACGAAGACTCTTTACAGGATTTATGACTTGGAATTATAAGTATCTGTTTGAAGTACTGGAAAACTTTGCTTCTGAAACATGCTCTATGCATACCTTCCCCTCCATTTTTCTTTATTTCATAACCATTGAAAGGTATAGCTGAAAACATTTAAAAAAAAAATCTTTGTTTACCATTGTATTCTTTATTAAGAATATACCAGCCATTTGCTTTTGGATAGGGTGGGTTATTTACATTAAAGGATAAGCTCACCTTTTAGTAAAAAATAATAAATGCACATTTTTTTGCAGATTAAAAAATGTGCATTTACTATTTTTGTCTGCAGGAGCCTGTAAAGCATTGCAATCAAAGCGGAGAGCGGGGGCCGGTCTAAATATGGGTATAACATGCAACATGTTATAAAAGGTGAACTTATCCTTTAAAGGCTAACTCAAGCCAGAGAGTTAGGAATCTCCACTGGGTTTTAATTGCTGCCTGCATCCCCCAAAAAGAGTAGCCCCCATTTCCTGTCCCGTCTGCCACTCATTGCAAGAACAAGAAGTGTGAGGTATTCGCAAAATCTCACAATAAAAAAGTACCAGATGTTATATACCTTAAAACACTATGTAAATCTACACAAAGAAAGTTGTTATTTGATCATAAAAAGGACTGCATCGTAAAAATGTTAATGGTGCTGTTCTTTTCTCATAAAGCTAATGTTTGTATTGATGAAAAAAAACATACTCTGTGAATCTGAGTTAAGGAATATTCTTTTTTTCCATTAAAAGACAACTATAGTGTGTTTACTCACCTGCCATGCCTCCAACTGCTGGGACAAATTGACCTTTTGTTGAATGGCATCTAGTAGCTGAGTGTTTAGTGACATCATGTCAATTCTACACTTTGCCAGTTCCATTTCCACAGCATTCTTTCTGGAGAGGAAATTGTTATACAAATTTAGTCATATACAGTGGCTAAAGTAAATATTCAATGCTTGGAATATTCTAAATCTAGTGTTTAGCTGGCCACAAACTGTTAGATTTTTTTTTTCAATCAGCCAGCGGGTTTAAAGGAGAAAAAAAAATTCCTCCATCCATACAAAGGAGGTGTATGATGGAATTCCTCCTGTTGGGTCATTGTTTTCTGACAGCACCTCCTGCAGCTGTTGGAATACACTGATCAGCAGCTGCAGCTGACTGGCTGGAGCTGCCAATCAATAAAAGTTTTCCAGCATGTCCCTTAAACAGTCGATATCCAATTTATTGAATTCTGTCCAGCAGGGACAGCAACACACTGATTGAAATTCGGCTGGATCCTGCAGTGTATGGTCAGCTTTACAATCTGGAAAAAACCCATCTGGATTGCATTTTATGAAACTGACCTATACAGAATAACACAAAATTTCTAAAGAAATCTGTGTGAACGTGGAACAGGTAAGCATTGGTGATAATGTGCTGTTACCTTACAAATCTTAAAATATATCTGAAGCAGAAACCTTTTTTTCCCCCTATTTTGGATAGAGAACGTAAATATCTCAAGGAGGGCTACAGCCAGCAGGAAACCCCCCCACTCCATCCAAAAATAGAAAAAAAAATTGTTTTGACTTTAGTTGCACTTTAACTAAAATGATATTAAACAGTGATAATATCCTATTTGCTTTCAGTGGGTTGATACCTATATCCAGGGTCCGTGTACTGTGAGGGAAAAGAGGGTATACAAGGGTTGCTTCCAAAATGTGTACCACATAGACTAGCTTTTATATTGTGGACTGAGTAGTTCCAGTGGTATTTCCAAAGTTTAGAGTAGACATCGCTAATTTAAAATCCTTAGAATTTCTTGGATTCAGTTTCTTTATGCAGGGGAAAATGAACAAAAGTAACTATGTACCTGAATACAGCAGCAAACTGTCATAAACAGATCCTTTTACATTTCTTTACACTGATTGTGTTAACTGTATAGAACACAACCTAGTATAAACAGGAACTACTGGAGCATATGAAGAAATTTAGCGAAGTGTCATAATTTTTACTTAGCATTCAAATTGTTATTACTTGGCAATAGCCTCATCTCGGTCCTTTATGGCCTTCAGTAGCTGTTCGTGCATATCATTATTCTGGGTCAGTTCCAAGAGGTGGTCCCGCTCCTCTTTCAGTGCAGTCATTTCAACACTCAGTAGAGTTACCTGAATATAAAACAGCATTTTGGCATTAGAAATACAACCGTTAATAATAATTTTATATATATATACAGTGGGGCAAAAAAGTATTTAGTCAGCCACCAATTGTGCAAGTTCTCCCACTTAAAAAGATGAGAGAGGCCTGTAATTGGCATCATAGGTAGACCTCAACTATGAGAGACAAAATGAGAAAACAAATCCAGACAATCACATTGGCTGATTTGGAAAGAATTTATTTGCAAATTATGGTGGAAAATAAGTATTTGGTCAATATCAAAAGTTCATCTCAATACTTTGTTATATATCCTTTGTTGGCAATGACAGAGGTCAAACGTTTCCTGTAAGTCTTCACAAGGTTGGCACACACTCTTGCTGGTATGTTGGCCCATTCCTCCATGCAGATCTCCTCTAGAGCAGTGATGTTTTGGGGCTGTTGCTGGGCAACACGGACTTTCAACTCACTCCAAAGGTTTTCTATGGGGTTGAGATCTGGAGACTGGCTAGGCCACTCCAGGACCTTGAAATGCTTCTTATGAACCCACTCCTTCGTTGCCCGGGCAGTATGTTTGGGATCATTGTCATGTTGGAAGACCCAGCCACGTTTCATCTTCAATGCCCTTGCTGATGGAAGGAGGTTTGCACTCAAAATCTCACGATACATGGCCCCATTCATTCTGTCCTGTACATGGATCAGTCGTCCTGGTCCCTTTGTGGAGAAACAGCCCCAAAGCATGATGTTGCCACCCCCATGCTTCACAGTAGGTATGGTGTTCTTTGGATGCAACTCAGCATTTCTCTCTCCTCCAAACACGACGAGTTGTGTTTCTACCAAACAGTTCTATTTTGGTTTCATCTGACCATATGATATTCTCCCAATCCTCTTCTGGATCATCCAAATGCTCTCTAGCAAACTTCAGACGGGCCCGGACATGTACTGGCTTAAAGCAGGGGACACGTCTGACACTGCAGGATCTGAGTCCCTGGCGGCGTAGTGTGTTGCTGATGGTAGCCTTTGTTACGTTGGTCCCAGCTCTCTGCAGGTCATTCACTAGGTCCCCCCGTGTGGTCCTGGGATTTTTGCTCACCATTCTTTTGATCATTTTGACTCCACGGGGTGAGATCTTGCGTGGAGCCCCAGATCGAGGGAGATTATCAGTAGTCTTGTATGTCTTCCATTTTCTAATTATTGCTCCCACAGTTGATTTGTTCACACCAAGCTGCTTGCCTATTGCAGATTCAGTCTTCCCAGCCTGGTGCAGGTCTACAATTTTGTTTCTGGTGTCCTTTGACAGCTCTTTGGTCTTCACCATAGTGGCGTTTGGAGTGTGACTGTTTGAGGTTGTGGACAGGTGTCTTTTATACTGATAACAAGTTCAAACAGGTGCCATTGATACAGGTAATGAGTGCAGGACAGAGGAGCCTCTTAAAGAAAAAAGGTACAGGTCTGTGAGAGCCAGAAATCTTGCTTGTTTGTAGGTGACCAAATGCTTATTTTCCACCATAATTTGCAAATAAATTATTTCCAAATCAGCCAATGTGATTGTCTGGATTTTTTTTTTTCTCATTTTGTCTCTCATAGTTGAGGTCTACCTATGATGCCAATTACAGGTCTCTCTCATCTTTTTAAGTGGGAGAACTTGCACAATTGGTGGCTGACTAAATACTTTTTTACCCCACTGTACATATATATACAGTGGGGATCGAAAGTTTGGGCACCCCAGCTAAAAATTTGTATTAATGTGCATAAAGAAGCCAAGGAAAGATGGAAAAATCTCCAAAAGGCATCAAATTACAGATTAAACATTCTTATAATATGTCAACAAAAGTTAGATTTTATTTCCATCATTTACACTTTCAAAATAACAGAAAGCTAAAAAATGGCATCTGCAAAAGTTTGGGCACCCTGCAGAATTTATAGCATGCACTGCTCCCTTTGCCAAGCTGAGACCTTCCAGTGTCATGGATTGTTCTCAATCATCGTCTGGGAAGACCAGGTGATGTCAATCTCAAAGGTTTTAAATGCCCAGACTCATCTGACCTTGCCCCAACAATCAGCACCATGGGTTCTTCTAAGCAGTTGTCTAGAAAACTGAAACTGAAAATAGTTGACTCTCACAAAGCTGGAGAAGGCTATAAGAAGATAGCAAAGCATTTTCAGATGTCAATATCCTCTGTTCGAAATGTAATTAAGAAATGGCAGTCATCAGGAACAGTGGAAGTTAAAGCAAGATCTGGAAGGCCAAGAAAAATATCAGACAGAACAGCTCGCAGGATTGTGAGAAAAACAATTCAAAACCCACGTTTGACTGCACGATCCCTCCAGAAAGATCTGGCAGACACTGGAGTTGTGGTACACTATTCCACTATAAAGAGATACTTGTACAAATATGGTCTTCATAGAAGAGTCATCAGAAGAAAACCTCTTCTACGTCCTCACCACAAAAATCATTGTTTGAACTTTGCAAATGAACATATAGACAAGCCTGATGCATTTTGGAAACAAGTTCTGTGGACCGATGAGGTTAAAATTGAACTTTTTGGCCGGAATGAGCAAAGGTACGTTTGGAGAAGAAGGGGCACAGAATTTAATGAAAAGAACCTCTGTCCAACTGTTAAGCATGGGGTTGGATCAATCATGCTTTGGGGTTGTGTTACAACCAGTGGCACAGGGAACATCTCACAAGTAGAAAGAAAAATGGATTCAATAAAATGTCAGCAAATTTTGGATGGTAACTTGATGCCATCTGTGAAAAAGCTGAAGTTAAAGAGAGGATGGCTTCTACAAATGGATAATGATCCTAAAAACACCTCGAAATCCACGGGGGATTACATCAAGAGGCGTAAACTGAAGGTTTTGCCATGGCCTTCACAATCTCCTGACCTCAACATAATTGAAAATCTATGGATAGACCTTAAAAGAGCAGTGCGTGACAGACAGCCCAGAAATCTCAAAGAACTGGAAGACTTTTGTAAGGAAGAATGGGCAAAGATACCTCAAACAAGAATTGAAAGACTCTTGGCTGGCTACAAAAAGCGTTTACAAGCTGTGATACTTGCCAAAGGGGGCAGTACAAGATATTAACTCTGCATGGTGCCCAAACTTTTGCAGATGCCATTTTTTTTGTTTTCTGTTATTTTGAAAGTGTAAATGATGGAAATAAAATCTAACTTTTGTTGACATATATAATAAGAATGTCTAATCTGTAATTTGATGCCTTTTGGAGATTTTTCCATCTTTCCTTGGCTCCTTTATGCACATTAATACAAATTTTTAGCTGGGGTGCCCAAACTTTCGATCCCCACTGTATATATATATATATATACACACACACTGTATATTCTTTTCATAGAATACAGGGCCAAAAATTATTAAAAACAGCCATTATGACATCTGTACTACAGCTACAGCTTCTAACTCTACTGCTATTACTTCTGTTATTATAGATCAATATCATCTGATGAAAATTAAAGTGTTACTAAACCCACAACAGTAAAATCAGTCTGTATGTGCAGTAAAGCATGCTTGTTATACTCACTATGGAACCTAAGGGTTAATCCTCTGCATTGCATAAAAAGGCTGTTTGATCCTGACTTCTCTGATCCTCCCTTTTTTCCAGTGTCCCCCTCTCGCCTGATAAGACATATCGTGTGGAGTCAGTCTGCACATGCTCAGTTTGCTGTGTATTGCTAGAGAGGTTTTTTATTTTTCTTGGGAGAGTGCATGTGATCAGCATAGGGCCAATCAGCACTGTCCAGACAGAAGTCAGGGGTTTTGAATCCTCCTAGAGCAGAATTAAAACTCCTCCTACAAGCTTTAACATGTGCTCTGTTGGACACTGATAGAAGTCACAAGACAGCTCTAACTGCTGATGAGAAAAGGTATTTACTAAAATAATTGCACTTCCATGTTCTGTGTACTGTGGGAGACCAGATAAAGTGAATGCAGGGTCCTGGGTTTAGTAACCATTTAATTGCTATATAAACTAATCAACATCCAAGGATATGCGAATGATATCCAAATCACTGGATGTGGTCTGTTTTTTGAACATGTTTATTTAAGAGACGTCCTCATTACTTGGTTCTACTATTCTAGGTCTTCAAATGAAGACACTACTTTGTGAGACTGGGTTTAAAATTGGTTACAGTAGCTCTTCATTAAAGTAAATCTGTCAAGAAAGAAATGAAGAAGCTGTTATTTCTGACCTTTTCCTCTAAAATGTCAGCTACCTTGCTATTAAGCCAACAGTTATACTTAAAGCCCAACACCAGATTTAATAAATGCTGCCTTACCTAATATCTATAACAAATGTCTAAAAAACACTGCTTTCACCCAAATATTTAGCACTCTGCACATACTTTGTCCTGCACTGTGAATCTTCTTCTGGGATGAATGACACCAATCTTCTTTCCACCCACTTCCTGTGAGCCCATGCTATAATATATACACTCCCTGGGGGTACATCATCATGCTGGTCTGGGTTCATGTTCATTAGTGTGGCTTGACAATTAAACTGTATGTTACTCCAACATTTCATATGTCTGAAATGGAACAATGTTACCATGTACTCATATTATAAAGTATCCTGTTCTCTTTGCATTGCTTACTTTGTGTGAAATACCTTATGATCCTGCCAGTCCCTCTGCTTTCCTATTTCAAACTGACCACGCCAAGATATGGAAGCGCTTCCATCCCAGTGTGGTCAGTTTATTTCTTTGCATCCTACTTGGGAGTAAAGCCTGCCTGTAATCCAAAGGTCAGACTTGTGCTGACATGCCCTCACATAGGAAGATCAGTGTACTGCTGGTTTCTCTGCCCCTTGCTGACACATCCCCTCTGTCTATGCATTTCTACATTTTACACTAGACTGTCTATTCTCCTTTCAAGCTGCTGATGGCAGCCCCCCCCGTCCCCCCCCCCAATTATCATAAGAAGCTGAGAACAGAGCTCATGTGATCACTTATGAAAAAAGAAAAAAAAGCAGCAGCGCAGCCACCAGAATGCTTCAATCTGACAGGCAGTGGTCTGCTTGTCAGATATATACACAGCCACCGGGAGTGTGTGTAAAACACCCCACTGTCAGGTCTGTACAACATATGGACCTAGCAAAGAAAGGTTACAGTGTTACTAAAGGCATTTTTTTTTAATTAAAATAATAAACACGTTATATTCTCCTTGCAGACAGCAGCCCTGAACCTCCTCTTCTGGGGTCCCCCTCTGGCGATCTTGGCTCCTCATCTTCTCCGTGTGCCCCCATAGAAAGCAGCTTCCTATGGAGGCTCATGTGTGTGCTTGTTCCCATAGACACACATACCACAGCATAGCCCTGCCCCCACTTCTTCCTCACAGCATTTGACTGACAGCAGCAGGAGCCAATGGCTCCTACTGCTGCTCGATTCTCTGTGTGAAGAGGAAGAGAGGAGAAAAGGGATCCAGCCATGCACAGAGCTGGATTGAATAAGGTATTTGGGAGGCGGGGGAGGATGAAAAGCTGTAAAAGGTTTTTTTTACCATAATTCAGGGAATGCAAAGGTAAAATAGTTTTGGCTTTAGAACCACTTTAAGCTATTTTGCGCGCTATAATATCTATCTCCTATGTGAAGATCACCCACCATAGGTTAGTGACAGTCTTAGAGGGTCCATTCACACCAAGAAATGCTGTTATTGTAAAAATTCTATTTATTACTACGTGGATAGGATCCATTTCTGGCTGCAGCCTTACGACTTCTATAAAATATGCTGCATTTTTGTGCATTTAAGTGCATTAAGAATTGCCACCAAAATGAATAGTAAAGTAAAAAAAAAATGCATGCATTGTGAAGCATTTTATATTCTTAGCACATTTGCATCAAACAAAATTCCATTGTATTGGTTTCTTTTTTTCATTGCATAATGACTGAAAAAAAAACATACAAGTAGAAAATGAGCATAAAAGCAACTAAAAACACGTTACTGCATCTGTTTTTCTGTATAACTGAGTATTGGCTGTGGCAGTCAGGAGAGTCCACAATGGTGGAGTGAGCACAAACCTTTACTGACACTGCTTTAACTGTGGTCTGCTGTGTGGCACATAACTGGATTTCACAAGTTCTTTGAGCGTTGTATCGATCTACTGACATACTGTTGAAATCTGTGTAGTCAATCGTAGCTGTAACTGCATAGTGATCTTTACTTTGGATTGTTTATATTTTATTGGTTTATTTTATTATTTTAAGTTTATATTGTTTTTAGTCATTTTTTTTTCATTTAGATTTGTCTGTGCACTTCCTTTAGAAATATCATGTCATGTTTTAAAACCGAAATAGGGAGCTGCCATTGCTTACTGGGTTTTAAATGAGCAATTCTGGAACATACCTAGAATAAGAATGCTGATATTGAAGCAAAAGCTTTCAAGTGGCATATTTCTTCCAGTTTATCAACCTATTAAGGTGACACTAAACCCATGCATTAACAAATATCATTTACATTACAGTATGCTGCACAGAGATACTGTATGTAACTGAGGTTATCCTCAAATATTCTTATGTGATGATTTTCTTACATCAAATGTATGGGCCTAATACTTCCATTTTGAGGGTGGTTCCACTACCCTTTTTGCTCCTCCTGTACATCTGTACATCTAGCGCCCAAGGATCATATTCATGTACTGCACTACAACGCTACATGCCAAAACAGTCAGTGCCAGCATGTAAAACCTCCTCCTATGTCAATTGTGTCAGCAAACTGCTTCTTTTACAGCACTGCCCTTGTATGAGGTACCAGCAATGTAAATGGGAATGCCAAGGCATGCGCATTTTCTGAATGCTGGGGCAATGCATTTTGGGAGATGTAGTCTGAGGCTTGCAGTGCTCATGACTAGAATGATATATACAATATTTGAGCCTCAGACCAGGAGTTTGGTAATTGCGCTTCCGAAGTTAGCTGTAAAGGGCAAAATGTGAGGTAATAAAGGACACTTTTAAAAACTCTTGCAGATATGTGATACATGAGATGGAATTTTATATATTTATGACATGCTGATGTTTATTAGGGGAGGGTTTAGTGACTCTTTAAGCAGTAAACCAAAGGATAAGGATGACTATCACAGAGTATGCATCCTAACATTCAATCATAAGGAACTCTGCACTAAGGTATAATGTTCAAAAGGCTACTATATGCAATGCAGCTGCACACCTCCTATACTCCCCAAGGGAGATAGTGCAAATTAACATAAACATAACTAGGTGCAGCGATAAACAACAACCAAAAATATTAAGATTATTTATAAATCCTCCTTCTGTCCCTTTAAATCCAATGCATAAAGTGCTAGTGATATATCCAATGTATCAGTAAAAAGTGCTGTAAACAATCCACAGTGTAAACAAAAAATAATACAATAAATGAATAACTGTCCTCCCAAAGTCCAATATATAGAAAAAACTGCTGGGGCTGTAAACAATGCTGTGATCAGTCCATCTGTGCAAACCAATAATGTGCTCTCTCAAATATCTGTGTTTGCTGTTCTTTATTTTCTCCACACGTGACCCACAACAACCAGAACGTGCCTGCGCTTGTTCACTACTCCCCTTGTGTGTAGCACTCACCGAATAATGCTGACCCCTTATGCTGAATAAGGTCAGTAGAGCTTTACATATGCTTTCCTACCACCAGACATCCTCCTCACATACTCCTCTGGGGGTACCTTCTCACCACCGTTTCCACTTCCAGTCTCACTTGGGTTCAAGAGATCAAAGAGGAGACCCGAAAGAGTGTATTTCAATTTATTAACTCAAAAAACAACTGTTGCATTTGCAAGGTTCATATATCGACACAGCCTCGGTAATATTCAATGGCACCTTCACTTTCTCGTCAAAATGGCTGTGCACTCCACCAGCCAGAAGTGACGTCAAGATCGTAGCTCCTTCCAATGCATTCGTTCATGTGATGTCTTCAGGGGAATCATTTCCCGCAGTTGGCCGATTCTGGGTCACAGTGCAAAAGTATGTGCACTCCTGTGGCCCAGAAGAGAAGTAAGAGCAAAAAGGCTATGGCCACACTTCTCTTTTAAATTTTTTCCATTCTAGGCATAGTGGTCCTTTAAATCAAACTAATATACCTAAATAGACATTTTCTCCTCTATGTGTAAATCTCTTTTTGCTCATATGTGATTTCATATACAAATATTAATAACACAATTGAAATTATTATCATGATATCATAATATTATATTATATATAATAATATATTATAAGAATTATTATAATTATTATAAATTACTTGGTGGTTTTCTACCTGTTTATGAAGTTGCTGAAGCTCCTCAAATGTTTGCTTCATTCTCACTTGCTCTCCCTGTAATAGCTCTCTGAGTTGTTTGGAGTCTTCACTAGTCCGTTTGATCTGCTCTTCCAAGCCATCATCCTCACATTTTCGTGCACTCTGTTAAGAAAAATATGAAACTTGACCACTCTACAGTCATACAAGAACATGTCTTGAAGTCCAATGCATACAGTATATGGAACCCACTACCTTCTAATTCTTATCTCCTTCAAACCAGAACACAATAAACATGAATATCAAAATGAATTTACGATTTCTCAGATTCAACACAGGTGTGTATTATATTGTTACAGAGTGGATGAATTTGCCCCTTGAATTAAAGATCTCTATAGCCATGAAAAACAGTAACACCTGTTAATATTATTCTAAATTAATTAAATTGATATTGACTGATACCTATATTACTCATGAAAAAGAAACAGGTGTAGTAATGCTGTACCAATGAAATACAGTATATGGGATATGATTAGGCCCCAACTGGGTGAAACATGTTACAGGGAGTTCTGCCATGAGTAGGAGACCAAACTGAAACAATTTTTTACGAAAAAGGAATGCAATCATCACTCTTGGAAAATGTTTATTCAATTGTTTAATTGTGTAGAAAAAAACAATCACTGACAAGCCTCAAAACTATTTTCATTTAACATTCCAACCATCTGGCTTTAACCACTTGCCTAGCGGGCACTTTTACCCCATTTCCGCCCAGGCCAATTTTCAGCTTACAGCGCTGTCGCACTTTGAATGAGAATTGCGCGGTCATGCAACACTGTACCCATATGAAATTTTTATAATTTTCTTTACACAAATAGAGCTTTCTTTTGGTGGTATTTAACCACTTGCCCTCCTGAATATTTACCTCCCTTCCTGACCAGGCCTCTTTTTGCTACTCGGCGCTGCACTAATTCAACTGATAATTGCGAGGTCATGCAATGCTACACCCAAACGAAATTTACGTCCTTTTATTCACACAAATAGAGCTTTCTTTCGGTGGCATTTGACCTGTGCGCTTTTTATTTTTCATGCTATAAACAAAAAAAGACCGAAAATTTTGAAGAAAAATTATACTTTTTACTTTCAGCTATAAAAAATATATAGTAAACTCAAAGTTAGTTATAAATTTAGGCCAAAATGTATTCTGCTACATGTTTTTGGTAAAACAAATCCCAATAAGTGTATATTGTATGTTTTGTGTGAAAGTTATAGCATCTACAAACTATGGTATAGATACTGCAATTTACACCATTTGTTTTGCTATACAGTGCTGTGCTAGTTTAACTACATGCCGCCCAGCCACTGTACATATACGGCGGCAGGGCGGCACTCACAGGAAAAACCACATTTTAAGACGTGTGTTTGTAAACAAATAGGGGGCGCGCGTTGCTAGGTCACAGCCGCTCGGCGGCAAACAGTGACAGACAGCACAGCTGCAGTAGCTGTGCTCTGTCACTTCCCTGTCAGCTCGAGGATGAGCTGATCGAGAAAGAAGAGTTTCTATTTCTCAATCAGCCTTGTCCCCTGCAGCACACACCCCCACCCCGTAGTAAAACACTTCCCTCACTCCTATAACCCTTCCCTGCAAAATAAAGTTAACCCCTTCCTCCCCATTGCCATTAGTACAGTGTCAGTTTTTTTTTTTTTTTTTTTTTGCACTGATCACTGTATTAGTGTTTTTGGGGATGTCAGTGACCCCAAGTCAGTACCCCCCAATGTCAGAATGTCCGCCGCAGTCCCACCATAAGTCGCTGGTCGCTGCCATAAGTCCCTGATTGCCGCCATAATTCGCTGATCGCCGCCATTATTAGTATAAAAAAAGAACCAAAATTCCCAGTATCTTTCCCGCCATTTGTAAACGCTATAACTTTCACGTAAACCAATTAATTTACACCTATTGGTTTTTTTTTTTTTTTAGCAAAGACATGTCGCAGAATGCATTTTGGCAGAAGTTTATGACTAAATTTGATTTTTGCATTTTTTTTTTTACTGGACATGTTTTATAACAAAAAGTCCAAAATATTGTTTTTTTTCCTCAAATTTGTCAGCCTTTTTTTTTTATAAAATAAAAACCGCACAGGCGATCAAATACCACCAAAAGAAAGCTCAATTTGTGGGGGAAAAAAGGATGTAAATTTCATTTATGTACTGTATTGCATGACCGCGCAATTGTCCGTTAAACTAGCGCAGCGCTGTATAGCAGAAAAATGGCGTAAGTTGCAGTATTTATACCATAGTTTGTAGACACTATAAATCCACACAAAGCAATCAATATACACTTATTGGGATTTTTTTTACCAAAAACATGTAGCAGAATACATTTTGGCCTAAATTTACAACCAACTTTGAGTTTACTATATATTTTTTTATAGCTGAAAGTAAAAAATATTGTTTTTCTTCAAAATTTTTGGCCTTTTTATGTTTATAGCGTGAAAAATAAAAAGCGCACAGATGATCAAATACCACCGAAAGAAAGCTCTATTTGTGTGAAAAAAAGGACGTAAATTTCGTTTGGGTGCAGCATTGCATGACCGCGCAATTATCAGTTGCAGCGCCGAGTAGCAAAAAGAGGCCTGGTCATTAAGGGGGGTAAATCCTCTGGAGCTCAAGTGGTTAACGGACAATTGCGTGGTCATGCAATATGGTACATAAATGAAATTTATGTCTTTTTTTTCACACAAAAAGAGATTTCTTTTGGTGGTATTTGATCACCTGTGCGCTTTTTATTTTTGGCGCTATAAAGTGAAAAAGTTTTAAAGAAAAAACATTTTTTAAAAAAAAACAATATTTTCTCATTTCGGTCATAAAAAATATCCAAAAACACTAAAATTTCGTCATAAATTTAGGCCAAAATGTATTCTGCTACATGTTTTTGGTTAAAAAAATCCCAGTAAGTGTATATTTATTTCTTTGTGTGAAAGTTATAACGTCTACAAACTATGGTATAGATAATGGAATTTACACAGCTTTTACTTTCTGACTGCCCATCACATTTCTTGAGGTGCTAAAATACCAGGATTGTACAAACACCCTCAAATTACCCCTTTTCGGAAAGTAGACACCCTAAGCTATCTGCTGAGAGGCATATTGAGTCCATGGAAGATTTATTTTTTTTCCACAAGTTTCTGGAAAATGACAAACAAAAACATTTTTTTTTTACACAAAGTTGTCATTTAAATTATTTATTTCTTGCACAAACCATGGGTATATGTAGAATTACACCCGAAAATACATTCTGCTACTTCTACTGAGTATGGGAATACCACATTCGTGAGACTTTTTGGGAGCCTAGCCACATACAGGAGCCTGAAATCCAATGACCACTTTGAAAGCCTGAAGATGCGTAACTTCCTCATTACACTTCCTCACTACCTATCACAGTTTCGAAGGCCCTGACATGCCAGGATAGCACCAAACTCCACCAAATGACCCCTTTCTGGAAAGTAGACACCCCAAGGAATTTAAAAAAAGGCATGGTGAGAATTTTGCAGATCTCATTTTTTCTCATAAGGTTTTGAAATATAAAAAAAGAATAGAAAAAATATGTTTTTGTTTTTTTTCTTAATTTTCCAAAAACTTGTGCCAACAAATGAGATCTGCAAAATACGTACCATGCTTCTTATCAAATTCCTTGGGGTGTCTACTTTCCAAAAAAGGGTCATTTTGGGGGGTTAAATGCTATCCTGGCATTTCAGGGCCTCCGAAACTGTGATAGGTAGCCTGGAAGTGTAATGAGGAAATAAAGCCCTTTAAAAGTCCGAAGGTGCTTATTGGATTTTGGGGTCCTGTACTTGGCTAGACTGCCAAAACGTCTCTCACATGTGGTACCCCCATACTTGGGAGAAGTAGCAGAATGTATTTTGGGGAGTAATTCCACATATACCCATGGCATGTGTGAGCAGTAAATCATTTAAGTGACAATTTCGTGTGAAAAAAAAAAAAAAATTTTTTTTTGTCATTTTCCAAAAACTTTGTGTCGATGTCCCAATATTTATGGACCTGACTGTATATATGTGATTTTGTACACCCATGCTACCCTGTAGCAGTATTTCTGCTATAGGACGGTCAAGAAGCGGTTACAGAAGCGTTTGTGTTGCGTCGCTACGTTACTTTAACTGACAATTGCGCGGTCATGCAACACTGCACCCAAATTAAATTTACGTCCTTTTTTTTCCCACAAATTGAGCTTTCTTGCGGTGGTATTTGATCGCCTGTGCGTTTTTTTATTTTTTGCGCTATTAAATAAAAAAAAAAAAGGCTGACAATTTGAGATAAAAACAATATTTTGGACTTTTTGCTATAAAACATGTCCAGTAAAAAAATGTAAAAATCAAATTTTGTCATAAATTTTGGCCAAAATGTATTCTGCGACATGTCTTTGCTAAAAAAAATCCCAATACGTGTAAATTAATTGGTTTACGTGAAAGTTATAGCGTTTACAAATGGCAGTATAGATACTGGATTTTAAATTTTTTTTTATACTAATAATGGCGGCGATCAGCGACTTATGGCGGGACTGCGGCGGACATTCTGACACTGGGGGGAACTGACATCCCCAGTGACACCAATACAGTGATCAGTGCAAAAAAAAAAACTGACACTGACACTGTACTAATGCACTGGGGAAGAAGGGGTTAACTTTTTTTAGTCAATGAAAGGGTTAACTGTGTGAGGGGAGTGTTTTACTAGGGGGCGGGGGTGTGTGCTTCACGGGAACACGCTGATCCAGAGAGATAAACTCCTCTCTCAGGATCAGCGTGCTCGGAACTGACAGGGAGCAGAGCTGCAGTGTACACACTGCAGCCGTGCTCCCTGTCAGTGATTGCCGGTAATCACCGGGACCCGGTGGGTAATGATCAGTGGCACAGGTAGGGCGGTTGCGCACCTACCTGTTTTGCAGAAAGATGTTTAAAAACGTGATTCTGGGCAGTGGTGCTGCCCTACTGCAGTAAAAACACTGTGGCTAGACAGCAACCAATTAATCACCACTGTGTGTTTTATTTTTTGCACTATAAACAAAGAGCAAAAAATTTGAAAAATAAAAAAGTTTTTCTTTTTTTCTATTACAAAACAGGTAATGTTTCTCCATCACTGATGTGCATTGATGA